CACACAGTCGGTAACTTCATCCATCTATAACCTCATCAGTCACGTAACCGCGCCAACCATATCATCCAAAGGACACACCCTAAATAACTTGGAAACCAGTCAAGATGAATCCAGCCAAGCATTCCACTTAATGTTCCCCCAATTAGGTAAATCACGTAGACAGAATTAAAAAGAACTGATTAAGGCCTTTAGTTCTGCACTTCTAAAGGTCATACATATCCTCTTAGAAATGAAGAATAGATTCTCTATGGTGCTGTACAGAATCCACAAAACAATGAGGCCTCTTGGAAAAGACAGCAACTTGCAAGACTTTTAGAAATGAGAACTAAAGGAAATATGTTTTCCTTAAGTCTAGGTACAGTTTGCTAATTCAGGAGGAGAATATTTTGTCGAAGAGGCAGGATGGATTAGATTTATCTTGACTGGTATCCAAGTCATTCAGTTGAGCCCTTTGGATTACATGCTTGATGAGATTCTATAACTGATGAGGTTATATTGTTGATGGGGTTATCAACTGCTTATAAAGAGAGCTCGGGTTCAAAATGATGCTTAGTCTTCAGAGAGAAGTAGCTTGAGCTGCAAAATGTGGTGACCATGACTTCAACAAAGAATTGACTTCGTTGTCTTCCATCTATTTGGATTCTGGTAAATACTGAAGACTATTTTCACCAGGAAGTAAAGACTTCAGTTACTTTGTAATTGAATTGATTAGAAAATGACTGTTTAAGCTGATTTCAGGCATTTCTTGCTTAGCAGGTCGTCTGAGGGAGGATGAGGCTATGAACATGGAATTCCTCTGAAATTTTAACTCACACATATAGTCAGAGGGAAACATGCTTAACTTTATAATTCAGGGCATGGCTTTCTGTGATCAGTCCAGTGCAGGAGACAGTAAATGTATTTAAAAAATTAACAAGAAAAATATGACATTCTGTAAGTGGCCTGAAGGACTAGTAGAGTTGTAATTAAGGCAATGGGGTAGGGGGAAAGTCTAACTTCATCAGTGAGATATCTGAGTTGTCATGTAAACTGAGACCGAAGACCAATAAATATGGAGTGTGAATGCGTGGGCGGGGGGTGGTTGTCTGTGGATGAAACATAATAGAGCTCTGTGTGGAGAAAATGGGGTCCAGAATGAAGTCGTGAGGCATTTCTATAGTATTGAGTTCTTTTCACAAGACATATGAGAGGAGTGACTATAGTCACAGGAAAGCAAAGCTCCCCAAGGGAGGTCACAGCTCAATTTTTCTTTGGTTCCAAATAAAAGGCTGAGCCACACCCCTTAGATATTTTATAGAAAGAACATTCACGGTGTTAGCAAGACATATTTTTGGGGAGATAACTGGTGCCCTTGATAAGTCGAAGTGTGAAGGAATGAGAAGAAATGGAGACTAGGAAGGAAGAAACAAAGGAACAAAAGAAGGGAACAAAACTAGAGAGAAAACAATTCTGTATGAGGTTTTTGTTTCAAAACGGAAGAGACAGAGAAATTTAATAATGACAGTGATATTAAGAGAGGTGGCTGGGAAACCAGATCCCATATACAACTGATAGTACAGAGTTCCCAAGAGAGCAGGAGAAAGGGACTTAGTTGGAGAAGTTGGACACATCCAGGAGCAAAACGTTTCTTCAACAGGAGAGTGTTGGAGAGTTATGGATGCAGAGATAACTGCAGGCTTCTTGGCAGTGAGCTGAAGTAATTCCTCAGAGGATCTAATTCAACTACGCAGTGGGAGGCAATCCCAGCCATGGGAAGGAACAGTAACGCTATGTGCACCACAAAAAAGGCCTGGGTAACATTTGAAGTACTATGACGGAGTCAGAACTGGCAAGACACGGGATTGCCAGATACATTGGAAAGTTACTTGGAGGCGAGTCTGCGTTGAGACCAGGCTCCACATCGCAGCCACGGGCTTTGTCACAAGCAGCCCCGGAATCGAGAATTTGGAGTCGCTGGGGGTGGTGTCTTGATCAGATGTGCTAAAGAGGTCAGATGCACATACGAATGGCTGGTCCTGTTTCATATCGACTGAAGTGAGTAAATGTGGCTTAAATCAAAACTCAAAATTAGGAATGTGGGGTGCGATGGACTGCAGGTCCCCAGATGGTCGGAGAGCCTGGGCATGGGGGTCGATTCCATGTGCCAGGTGGAAAGAGAGACGCTGTGGTTACAGGCAAGGTCTCTGATTACTCATCAGAGAGATGACAATTCCTAGTGAAACACAGGTGTGGCATGTACCCCTCAAGAAGGTGCAATCAGTTTAGAAATTAGAGTTTGGAAAACAATTAGACCAAAATTAAAATTTTAACTGTCCCATTTTCTAGTCATGCAATTCTGTTGTGTTACCAAAGCTGTCTGAACACCTGTCACAGCCCTTGTTAAATAGGTAAGTGAACCCAAATCAGCAGAGGTGTGAGGGTCGGCAAGCCTGTATACATGTAAATCTGCAGGCAGGGAGTCACATTAAATAAAAATTTTATTTTCTCTGGAATTCAGCTAGAAGGGAGTGAGTGGAAGATGGGGAACTGCCTCAAATCCCCCAGCTCGGATGACATCTTGGCCCCTGAGCCTCAGTCCCCCCACTGGCACCATGGCAGGGCTCGCTCTGGGGAGAGGACAGGGCCGTCGCTGCCACGTCAGGAACGAGGTCCCCTTGTTCAGCTGCCTGAAGAGGAACAAATTAGGATAGCGCAAAGAATCAGCCATACACAGCATCTGCCGAAAGGACTTTATGACTGTGGAAGAGACGGAGAAGGAAAGGTCCAGGAGGGTGCGGTCTGTCTGGTGGGCTTCGTTAACGGAGATGCCACCTGCCCTCTGCCATGCCTGCACTTCTACCACCTGGACGACATCGACGAGTGGCTGCGGCAGTCTGTCATGTGCCCCTGCTGCAGGAAGCCAGTGCATGTGGCACAGCCTTCATCCTGAGATGAATGGGGCCAGGATTTGTCTGATTTCAAGTGATTCATCATTTTTAGCTATTCTGATCTTTTGTTACTGAGCCTACATAGCCGGATATTGGAAATTAAGATCGTTCACAAAGTTTCCCTAAAAATTCCTGAATGGTTGTAGATCTGGGAGAATGATTTGTGATATTTTAGGAACTTAGGGGGAAAATAGGATGGTGTTTTTATGTAAAGCCTTGGCTGAGTGTTCAAAAATATAACTGTATCTTATTGTTTCAGTCCCCAGGAATTGTATCGTGTTATAGCAGCTACGTATGCTTGTAATGTCTATGTGGAGGATGAGGAAAAAGATAATGGTTATATTTCCCCAAAGAAATAACTTTCTCACTTCCTTTTGTGTATATTGCACATTTTGTTTATGGTTACTTTGGAGGTTAGATATGTCCTAAAATTATAACAATCTATTTTAAGTTGACACCGACTTAAATAACATTAAAACTCTTTTTCTTTATAGCTGTCACACACACACCGCCCCAGCCGCCCCAGATATTACCATTCTTATTACAGATCACTTTTGTGATTGTCGTTAGACAATACTGAAGTTTTCTGTTCATAAGAGTTTCTAACTTACCGAAGACTGTGGAGACACGAATACACACAGCAGCCCCGGGATCCCACTGTATTGCCAGGCGCATGTTCACGTCATTCCCGACATATTTCAAGTACACCTCCAGATACAGGGACCAGACGGTGTTGTCGGAGGTGGTCTCAGAAAGCATCCTTAGTTCCAGATGAACCTCTAGAGATGTTTTGCAGTCCCCTCCAGGCGCCATCAACCACAACCGCCATGCTGGGAGCTGGGGGGCAGGGACAGACCTTGCCCTTCCAGAGCCACCACAATATTATTGACTTCAACTCAGCAGCCTAGGAACGGCTACAGAGGCCATCCCCCTCTTTCCTTAGGTTGGCAGGAAACTGGGGCAGAAAGCAGGCCTGGGTCAAAGTGGGAGTGGCCAGAGAGAGGCCTCACTTAGGAAGGGGCAGGGGCAGGGGCATGGTGGAGCTTTAGCCAGGTAGTGTGGGGCCTGGTAAGGGTGGGGCTTAAAAGATGTGGCCAGTGTGGGCAGGCCTATGTCTCCTGTCTTACCCCCTGCTGTTTCTGGGTCTGTCCCTTATTCCAACACCACCTATCGCCTCACATTTTTGCCTTAGGATTGTTGCCTCAAAGTGGCTTTAGTCCTCCCCCTAGTGGAGGACATAGGACCCTCAATCCATGAACCTAACAGGCCTTCTGCCACAGAACGCCATGACTCAGTCCCCGATCTTTTGCCTGAACTTAACAACTCTCCCACTCAGACTGATGCCCACAGGTCCCCCATCTCTGAACCATACAGATCCTGGGTTCTAGCTTCCCACTGATGAGGATTCGCCCCTCCCATCTGCATAGCCCCAGCAGGGACCACAGGCCTGACTACACTGCTAATTCCACTTTTCCTGGGCTCCCCAGAGTACCCGGTGGGCCTCTGTTCAATTCATTGGTGTTCCAAGGGTGATGACTGTTGATCTGAGGCCAAGAAGACGATGCTTCGCGCTTCACGTGCACTCTGAAATACAATGATGACACACACTGACCCAACTGTTACGACACCCTCTTAACACATACTAACCTAACACACTCCAAATGACCACATAAGATATGTTTACTCAATCATGTGTGGACCTTTCACACTGAACAGATACTTTCACAGATGCCTTTGCCCTACATGCTCTAAGTCACATAATCAAGGAAACACCTGTACGCTGATAACATAATGACCACTGTCCTCTGACCAAACACAATAGCTGACACAGTCTTTAGAGAAACCTGGCTGTGCCTGTGTGTGCCTTGATAATGAAGCATTTCACATTTTAATATCAAAAAGGGAGAGACACATGGCAGAGGAATAAAATGTGTACTGAGTGCCTCCAAGACCCAGCAGACTTATGGTGTCATATGGTAAAGAGACAGGTGAAGACAAAAAAAATCTGCATATGGGTGTCCGATAAAATTGCATCAGCAAAAAAATCAGGTAAGTGCAAATAATTAAACCAGATTTCCAGGAAAAAGCATCAAGGTTTTAATGTGATTCCACACTGTTAGTTGTGAATTTTCCTATATAGGCATCAGTATTGTCAAAATTCTGACTTAAATATTATAGGTAAAACATAGTTTTGTGTTTTAGTTTACTTTCAATATTTTATAATTGACTTAAATACATGTGTTTATACCAGCAAAACTGGAACTTAATCAAGATATCAGATTTTTTTTAACAATTAATGCTTGCATTTCTTCAGTATCAACCATTGTGTCTTTATTATTTCTTCCAAAATTCTGCATTCAATACTCCCAAAGTGTTTCACAATTGTGCATTTTATCCTACATGTTTTCAATGACAAATCTTTGGTAAACTTCTGAATTTTTTGCTGAATCATATGCTCAATGATTCTTTTAGAATTTTTTTTCCAGTCCAAAATTTCTAAGGTGAAATCCACCTAAAGATTCATCCATTTTCTCCTCAGGACTGTTTTCTTCTCAGTGCGAGATCATTAGTGTTAACTAGGGAATGAGTAATCACTGAAAAGTTTCCTCCATTTGTGTTTTATAGAAGTCACTGAGTGTTTATACAGTGTGAATCCTAATCTGTTTTAGAGCAATAGTCTTGCTCTATTAATAAAATCACTTTTACCATTTTTCATAGAATAACTTATTCAACACACATTATCTGCTATTCTTCAAGAGGCTTTGTCCTCCTAGTAGTGGATTTTTCCCGCTTATTTCTTGTTTCAGTAGTTATCTGACACTAAATTTTCTTGTGCACACCAAGAATAGTGCTAAGTTGAATGAGAGGACACAATGACTCTACATCTAGAATTTCTCTCCTGTGTAGTTTATTATTTTGTTTAAAGGATGAATTATAAGTGAAGGGATTAATAAACTGGCTACATAAATAGAATTTATGACCTGTGACTTCTCCATCTTGTTTAACAACTAGAACTGTGTATAAGGACTCTTCCGTATTCATTCCATTTACAGTTTGAGTTCTCCTAGGTAATATATTGTCTCCCAGGTCAGTCCATTGTTAAGTGTTTGTCAAACAGATGCAATACATATAGATTCTCTTTATTTTGAATTACCTTTGATCAAATTAAATAATCAGGATGAATAAAGGCTCTTCTACATTGATTATAAACATATTGTTAGTTCAATGTCCGAGTTCTCAAGAGTGTTTAGAGTTAGAAGCTGTGGGTGGTGAGTCTTCCACGTTTATAACTTTTATGGTGTGAGTTCTTTCATGTTGTCTAAGGTTAAAATATTTACTGAAGGCTTTTCCACATAGATAACATTTATATGGTTTCTCTCCAGTGTGAATTCTCTTATGCAGTCCAAAGTTATAACTTCTATTAAAGGCTTTACCACATATATTGCATTCATATGGTTTCTCGCCAGTGTGAGTTCTCTCATGTCGTCTAAGGACAGAAGAGTGATTAAAGGCTTTCCCACATAGGCGACATTCATATGGTTTCTCTCCAGTGTGAGTTCTCTTATGTCGTTTAAGAACAGAAGAATCAGTGAAGGCTTTCCAACACAGTTGACATTCATATGGTTTCTCACCAGTGTGAGTTCTCTCATGTCGTCTAAGGACAGAAGACTCAGTGAAGGCTTTCCCACATAGATGACATTCGTATGGTTTCTCTCCAGTGTGAGTTCTCTCATGTTTTCTAAGGTGAGAACAATGAGTAAAGGCTTTCCCACATAAATGACATTCATATGGTTTCTCTCGATTGTGAGTCCTCTCATGTTGTCTAAGGTAGGAAGTTTTACCGAACGTCTTCCCACATAAGTGGCATCCATATGGTTTCTCTCCAAAGTGAGTTCTTTCATGTTTTCTAAGGTCAGAACAATGAGTGAAGGCTTTCCCACATAAATGACATCCATGCGGCTTCTCTCGAGTGTGAATCATCTCATGGCGTCTAAGGTTATAACTTTTACTGAAGGCTTTCCCACAGAGATGGCATCCATATGATTTTTCTCCAGTGTGAGTTCTCTCATGTTTTCTAAGATCAGAACAATGAGTGAAGGCCTTCCCACATCGATGACATCCATGTGGTTTCACTCCAGTGTGAATCATCTCATGACGTCTAAGGTTAGAACTTTTACTGAAGACTTTCCCACATACAGGGCATTCAAATGTTTTCTCTCCACTTTGCCAATTATCATGTTGTCTAATGGCAGAGCTCTGAAACAAGGTATCTTCACGTTGATGACATTCATACAACTGACTTCTAGCATCAATTTCTTTATGTTGATTAACGTAACTGATGGATTTTCCGAATTCATGGCTGATATGGGGTTTCTCTCCCATGTGAGCAATCCCATACCGAGTCAACATTAAGATTTCAGTAATATTTTCTCCCAAATCATTCAATTCAAAAGGATACTCTTGAGTGTGAAATCTCTGCTTTTTGAAAAGAAATGAGAAACTGTTAAAAGTTTACCCACATTTATTCATTCTTTCATTCATTTCTCTCTCTATAAATATAAATTCTAGAGTAATTGTTTAATAATAGACTCCAGTTAAAACTGTTCCTATTTTAGTGACATGGGGTATTACCCTCCCGCATGCATTAAGATTTTCTCTTTTGTGGCACACCAACTGCAGAGACATCTGATTAATTTTTAGACATTATATTTCAAAGATTATGTATGTGAACCAGGATTATGCAACTGTCTGTTTAAAAGACCTCAGGTTATGGCTTTGACTTCAAGTTAATTTCTTCCCCCAAACCAAACTATTCAAAACTTTCTAACTCTAATTAGGTAATTGTGCCAAATTCTTAACTTATTCAATATCCAGGACTTTATTTGGAAGAACAGGTTCAGCTTACCACTGAATCGAGTAAGGATGTGTCCTTCTTGTAGGAATGTTGAATAGATATCATTTCTTGTTTTTTAAGATCATCTCCCCTATCTGAAATAATTGGAAAGAAATAACTTGATAGAGCCGAATTGGAATTAAAATGTTGAAAAGACGCAATACTCATTTGAGGATATTTCAAATATTAACACACAGATGGGAAAGAATGTCAAATTAAGGACTACTCTAAGAAGAAATGCATTACAGACATCAACAACTGACATTTTCAAGACTAGAACATGAGAAAAATAAAATGAAGATGGCAAGTTGGAGAGAAAAAGAAAAAAACATCTTCATAGAATAGGATCATAAAAAGGGACATCTTATAAAGGGAAAAAAATAAAACATCACTTATCAACAAGTTAAGGATATAATGGACAGTTTATCAGGGCAGAAATAAGACAGTCCCAAGGCAATGTGGGTAAAACTGCACCAGGGAGGTTAATGCTTTCCGCCCTCATCCTCATCCTCAGCACTATCTGCTCCAATGTCCTCACAGACCTCAAAGGTAGCCATGTCCTCACAGGCCTCAGAAAACTCTTCCTCCATGCCCTCAGCCATGTACCAGTGAACAAAGGCACACTTGGCACACTTCAGGTCAAACTCGTGGTCCAGGCGAGCCCAGGCCACAGCAACAGCTGTGTTGCTCTGCACGTTCGCAGCTCACTGTACCTTGGCCAGGTCTCCATTGGGCACCACAGTGGGAGGCTGATAGTTTATGCCAACTTTGCAGCCAGCGGGGCACTAGTCCAAAACTGGATGGTATACTTGGTCTTGATGGTGGCAATGGCAACACTGACATCTTTGGGAACCACGTCGCCAGAGCAGAACAGGCAGCAAGCCGTGCATTTACCATGGCGAGGGCCAAACTGCATCTGGTTGGCTGGCTCAACACACACACCAGTGAGCTCCGCTACAGTAAGCTGTTCATAGTGGGCTTCTCAGCAGAAATGACAGGGGCACATGTGACCAGAGGGAAGTGGATACAGGGATAAGACACCAGGCTGGTCTGGAATTCTGTCAGATAGACATTCAGGGCCTCATCAAACATGAGGGAAGCAGTGATAAAGGACACAATCTGGCTAGTAAGGCGACTGTTACTGTAGATTGGGCGTTCAATATCGAAGTTTGTATGACAGATGTCTTAGATGGTCTTGTCAGCCACGAAAGCACAATCAGAGTGTTCTGGGTTGGCTACGTGGCAAGGATGGAGTTATAGGGCTCAACCACAGCGGAGCTCACCTGGACTCTGGCCTTGCAGAAAACCAATCCCCTCTCTTGAAAGTTGCTCTCTTTCCTCCGAAAGGGAAATCACATCTGATTTGTAGAGTTGACTGACTGTTTGTAGGAAAACGACATGTGGATTTTGAGCTCTGTGCTGATAACAGTGCGTGATCATCGATACAAGGTCAACTAATGAGGAAGAATGAGATAACCTCTGAGGGTCAGTGCAGGGAAGAGAAGGTTGAAAACAACATGGATTGTTCTTCACCAGCAAAACAACAGCTCTGGAACTTGTCCCAAAAGCTATTAAGGACCTCTGTCATTGCTGATGCCCATGCTTAAGTTCAAAGACAGGCTGCAGAATCTTCAATGTTTTCTTTCAGTGAGAAAACGCAAGTTTTCACAGTGTTTGACTACTATACCCCCCAAAATCCAATAAATACAACCTCTACCAGAATAATGTAGGTTCTATGTGGAAAATAACATGTCTGTCATTTTTAAGACTGTGGTCTGGTCTAACTGCAGTCCCTGCAGCAAAATAATAATAATTTTTTAAAAAATCAATATATTTACTTACCCATTCAAAAACAGAACTCACCATTTTTGAATGGGTCAAGATTCAGTAGCAAGAAAGACAGGAAGTTGTGTCAGGAAGATTACATTCTATTGGAATTATAAACTAAGTATAAGTAAAGAGTGAAGACAATGGCTGTGAGGTGGTGGCAGAGTTATGGAAGAATCGAGACAAAGTGTGGAGTGAGACGTGGGAAGCTTTTCCACATACCTGCCGAATGAATAAACGAACACACACGCAGGTAATGAGATGAGGAGACTCACCGATCGAGACCAGATGACTGATGTTCTCCAGCATCACGTCTCTGAACAGCTCCCTCTGGGATGTGTCCAGCAGGGCCCATTCTTCCTGGGTGAAATCTACAGCTACATCCTCGAAGGTCACTGATTCCTAAAACATTAGGAACAGTGTTTCAGACATGGCCATCTCTGCTAGCCTCTAGGAGAGGGTGGTGCAGGTGACAGCACTAAGAAAGTGGTGGCTGAGTGCACGGAAAGCTCAGACAGTATTGTTCTCAGTGCTGGCCTGGGCATCTGACTTTCAAATGTACCTATAGAGACAAACACACTGTAAATACAAAAGACTTCATTACAAAGAAATATTGCACGAGGTGTAATATAATATAACCTGGAGATTTCCCAATAAACTTGTAATTCTGACTTCAAAGCCATGATTTTAAAATTTTCACGTCAAAATTTATAACAAAACACTCTTCTCCACCAATTTCAAGTAAATCTACAAGCTCGTCACCGGAATGCAGTATCCATGATCTGCCACTTTTTAACCACAACTGTAGCTACATTGTTCCCCTTTGTCACCTCAGGTTCCTCATCAAGGAACCGGTTTAATGGCTGTTATGAAATCTTAAAGGTCCAATGAGCTAATGTGTAGTGATAACTGGCAAACAAGATTAAGTACAAGTTCTACGTTTATTATTCAATAAACGGCAGAGATTATTGAAGCAATGTCCAGAATTCCACAAAACTGGACAGAATTAAGCAGGCCTTGGGACGAGCAGGAGCAGCCTGTCATCTCCACAGCATAAGGAGAATCGGTTCAGCTGCAGGAGCCAGGGGAGCTGAGACCTCGGTGCAGAGTTATTCTGACTCTTTCTGGGACTTCCAGATATCAGTTATCACGGTCTCTTCTATTTCTTCATCTTGTCTCTCTATTCAAGCATAGCTGAAGCCACTCGACTGTTCTAACTGCTTCAAGTTCATCAAAAATGTCACAGGGCCTTATGCTTCACTCTACCTCTTCTAGACCTGCTCCTCCACCACAGCCCAAAGGAGTGAAACAACATTCACTATGCATTGCTTCCACTTATCAAATTTTAACAAAGGGGAAAGAAATTACAGAGAAATTGCATAATTTGGGACATAGGTAATAATGAGAATTTTAGTTTTATTCATTTTCAAAAAGCACAAATATACCCTATCGAAACTTGAAGAGGTTTAAAACTGGAAACGACAAATGACTCCTCGTTGCCTTCTCTGGCGTGATCATAACTCGTTTCCCTCAACACTGATCATCACTGCCCCAGCACCTGTAACTGGGCTGGCGGAGCTCACCTGTGGAAACATCCGCTACCTTTCTGCGCTGTCTGTTCTGCTCCTCATCTTTATCACCTGCATTTACCTCAATCCTAAGGCCATTACAGTCAATAATATGATTGAGGGGCACCTTTTTTTTTTTTGCTAACAAGGCCATGTGCTGGGTGAGAAAAAGAACAGCTCCCTCCCCTCTTCGTAAACGCACGGCTTTAATAGAGGCTGGACGATCCTGGCGCAGTGGTGGGAAGGACACTACCACCTGAGGACTCGACCCAACACGACCATTCCAGTCCAGATCCCTGAGAGCTCAGATCCTTGAAAAATCTCCTGCGAGCACTTAGAACATCAATGCCTGTAGGGTAAATATACTCATACACTGGCAACGGAGATGCAATTTCTGTAGAAAGAGTAATTCCCAACACACCTGTGACTCCATTGTCACTAGCTCAGCTGTCACCTGTCTTCTGGGTTTTCACTGGCACGCAGTCCAAGCAACAGGAGGCAAAGCTGAGGACAGAGAAGGCAGGCATGAGACTCTAGTTATCCACAATTTCTAGACCCAACTGTCATGAAGTCCCAACGCTTCACCTGGAAGTAGCCCCAGCCCAACCAACAGAAACCGGCAGTATTACTCTCTAAGAGACAGAAGAAGGCTCGCCTCTCCCAGGGTCGGAAGGCTAGGACGACTGTTGCTAGAAAAGACTATACAGACACGTTCAATTTAGAGAAGGATGCGAAATCCATTGGGTTTTGTATGCTAATTAACCCATGGTTTCAGAAGCTTTTCAATTCCCTCCTCATTCCAAAACAGAGGTCCCCCAACTCATGCGACTCATGTCTTCACTCCAGGAACTCCTGAGGCGTCCCTCGGGTCCCACCGTTCTCAGCTGCACACCCGCAATGTTTCTCCACCCCTGCCCTCTGGAGCCTTGATCCACTGCTGCTATTCCCTGGCCCTGGCCCCCAGATACACTTGTCCTGAGTTATTCTGTGTCCTCTAAGCCAAGTTTCCAGGAATACTAATCCCTCGACATTGACTGAGATTTGTTCTGCATGAATCTGGTTGCGAACTAAGAGAATTAAGAATACACTTTATGACAGTGTTATCCAATTCAGTGACTTGTTCCATTTGCAGGAATCAATGGCGTCCACCTTGCAGAGCTGCCCCTTGAGGCCCCCTGCACTGAAAACCAGCATGAGTGTGTGGACTACAGACTACCGGCATGGTCAATGACCCTTACGGGCAGCGGGCGCAGAGAATCCAGAGCGAAGGGGTTTTTAGAGGAAATTCGGTTGTTCCATCTGATCAATTAGAAAAATGGTGGCTGGAATCCCGCCCTTCACTAATGGTCATTAGCTGCGACTTCCCCTGCTTCATTATTTCAACATGTGTCTGTGAAAGCACTTAGAAAATATAAATCCTCCCCTCAAACATCAATACTTATGCTTATTTCATAGACAAATGATGATAATGAGTCATTAACAGAAGCAGCTTTAACTCATCCATTTGTAACTTTTGAACAGAAAAGTTTTACCAAATGTGACTCTGCTTAGAGATTTATAGACATTTGCTTATTTATTCTTCAAAGTAACCCTGCTAGTTATGGTTCATTTATCACTTTAATAAATGACATGACCTAAGGTTCAGAAAACTTTAGCGACGTGGCAAAATCACACGCATACAAACCTACAGGATGCACATAAGCACGCATAAGAAGGGACACAGGTGTAGTGTGGATTTTCCTCTGCCTTCCTCCTAAGCTCAGATCCTTTAGGGGTTGCACACCAGCACTAGACTTTACCTGGAATACGACTTTTGGCATTAAAATCCAGAGGCCCGCCCTGTTTTACAATGTATTCTCCTGGCTTTTGTACAAAATTCCTCCCATGCCCATGTTCTCTGCCGCAGAGCATGACCCGGGTCCTAGACATCGGCCTCCAACAGCCTCGCTTTTGCTGCCTAAGCGCTTTTCCAAGCCCAGCATTATTTATTATTTCCTATGTCCGTCTGACTACCACATCTGCTGAACAGGATCCCAGCAGAAGGTGATCCCCGACACCTGCTCCATGGCTGCGTCTGACTGCACAGGACTAGGGCGCTGACCTCCCTTTACCATGGAGTTGCACCTTACAGTAGCTTCGAAATATATCTGGCAACCCCACTATGTCTCGGGAATTAACCAGTCTTGCCCGCTGCCCAAACATTTCAAACGTTTCTCTTGCCTTTGAATCCCACATTCTCGCACCTTCCTCACTCTCAGTGGATGAGGCATTTATTCCCTACTACGATGTCTGACGCATGCCGACACATGGCTCAGCGTGACATCATAAGATGCACGAACGTTCCTGCATTACGCCCGTTAGCTACTGCCCCTCTCCTACTCCTGGCTGAGGCTGACGTCGCCAACGGAAGCCCGTCCTCTGGTCTTGTCAGGAACCTTCTATTATTGATTAAAAGGCATCGTTTCATTTACCAGCAACTTCTCCCTCTTGCCACAGCGCAGCCCCTCGTGATCGACACTCATGTCCCCTCTTCCCCCTGCAAACTAAAACCTCCTCTGAACGCGCTCCTCTTAAAACCCTCTGTCCTGTTCCTGCCTTTACGATCCAATGCGACGCCAGGGTGCCGCGCCACGCGCTCGCGCCCCCTCTCTGTCCGGCTCATGAACATCCCCAGCGACATCTGCAGAAACCAGCGCGACGCACACGCCTCGGGCGTCTTGGAGCCACGCAGCAAGTGTGCCCGGGACGTCGCCGAGAGCGTGCTCCATCTTCTCGCTGTCTTCAAACCAAACTTGTCGTTCCAAGGCCACGCCACCTGAGAGGAACTTCCCATGCTATCCCGCTGGAGGCCTCGAGCCCCGGTCCCACGCCGCCACCCGGCCCGGCCCGCTCAGGCGCTTCCATTTCTTTCTCTACTTTTTCCAAGTTGAAAGTGACAAACTCACGTGGGAGTTCCATTTCTGAGCATCCCTCTTTGCAAGCTAACGGGCACCCAAAATGAAATACATCTCAGGACAGTACCTCGCATCCCCCCAAATATAACTCTGTATCTAGTCTAGAATCTTTTTCATGTCTCCGCCAGACACCTAAGGTTTGAAATCTTGTACACTCTTCCAGGACAGCAGACACAATTCAGTATTCGATCGTTTCTCCACTGTTCACTGTTATCACTGTTTCCACCCAAATCTACACACACAATTTCCCACCCCATCCTGATTTTCTCCAATCTCAGTTTGAATGTCAATTCCTAAGAGATCCCCTCACTGAACTCCTAACAAAATTAACACTTCCCTTCACAGACTCATTTAGAAAGTAAAGGAGGTACATCCCTCCTGGGGAAGACAATCTCCAGTCCTCACCAGAACCCAAGCAGATGCGAAGTCCAGTGAAGCCGAATCTATTGAGGAAGCTGCCACAACATCCAGAGTTCAGAGCTTCTTTCTCTCTCTAGAAAACGAACCATTTTGATGGTGGTCTCTCTTTTAATGTAGCTGGTAACCCATCAGCGTCGTAATCCAAAGGACAAACCTGATTAA